CTTAGCTACTTCCTGCTGAAAAGGGACGCTGTGGGTTTCAGGGTGAAGATCTTCTCTCACTACTCTAAAGGGCCCCTTTGGCAGTAGGAAACACATGGACTATTATGGAGATTGATTTTGGAATTCAGATGCACTCTTATTGATTGTGGTGTTGATGTCCTTGTTGTCTGTCACAGAGTCAAGCTGACCTTCCAGAAGGCTTTACAGTGGAAGTATATGAAAGAAGAATTTGAAAAGCTGGACCTTCAAATGCTTTGCATTGTGAAAATGGGTGCTCCTACTTATTTGTCCCTTCCCACAGTTCTGGACAGTCATCTGATGAAGACAATGATAATGAGAACCATGTCCTAAATAAGTAGTGTGTTCCCAATGTACAATACTGAAATAATTGCAGCTGACGGTTTTAGTCAAGATCTTAGGGCTTCCATCTACCCAGCTGACTCCATAGCTGGGCTCTATCCACCTTGCTATCCTTCCTCTTTGCCAACAGGCTGCTGTGATGCCACTTGAGGGGGCCTGTGATCACCACCTCCCATTTGCTCACATCCACACCAAGTCCTTTCAGGACTATACCCTTCTTAGGGTGGTAAACACTGACCTGGACAACCCTGGAGGAGTGTTCTCCAAAGTGTGGCAGCCCTTGCAACTGCCTCAGGGCTGTAATGGGGCCTGGCAGAGATCTGAGAACTGAAGAGGCCTTTTGGAATGAGAGGAGGCGGCCCTCATTGCCTTCAAAGCCTGCTGCCTCTGCCAGTGTTTCCAGGGCCTCCTGCAGGAAGAAACCATTGGCCTGGTTAGAGTGGACAGGGCACTTCCAAGTCCAAACTCTTGAGTTACCACTCATCTATACCCATACCCCATTCCCAGTGCTGCAACAGGGCAGAAACCCTATCCCAGGGAGGCTGGGGACTCATGGTTTACCGAGAGGCTGGCATTATAGTTGGTGAGGGGCGTCGGACGCTTGCAGGCATAGGTTGGCACTCGTGCCAGGCTTGGAATCTCATTCCTGGGCTTGGTCACCTAAAGATGGAAAATGCATCTAATTGCTCCTCTATGAAACATAGATAATAACAGATCCAGCTTTATGTAAAAGTTTAAATGAGTTATAGCAAAAGGGCTTATGTAGTGCCTGGGACACAGGAAACTGCTATGTACTGTTAATAAACTTGTCTGGGAAGAGAAAAACAATAGAAGGTCACCAGCCAGCAGGGCCCACAGTTGGATACAGGACATGATGTACTATATTTTTATGCAAATAACATGAGTATTGCATATATTTGCTTTTTGGCTTTCCCATCAAACCAGGCAACCTTCTCACATTGCACACAGTGTTCGCATGGTTGGGTTATCACTGGAAATCCATGTTACATGCTAGCTGGGAGTCAAGCAGCACCCAGGAGCCTTGCTTTTCCTGCTTGGGCCGGAGCTCTTGGGCTCCAGATTAGAGTATGGAGACTCTAAGAGAGTGACAAAAGGCAGTTAAAGGAGGGAGTAGAAGGAGATACAGCCTTGAAGACTAGACTGGAATATCAAGAGCAGTAGTGACAACAGCTGTAAGAGGTCACTAAGACTTCTTCCTGTTGCTGTGACGCTGTATGTATGCTGCTTCTACCCTAACTGAGTGGGCTGGGAACTCTTATGGAGACACTGAGACCTTGAAGGCTGAGGGACATGACCACACCACATAGGTTTTGAAGAGAGACAGCCTAGATCTGGAGCCTGTGCCTGCAGGCCAGCTCTGCTGCCTCAGGAGCATTGAGTGGAGCAGAAAAACTGACTCTCACAGCCAGATGAGTCAGGCTTCCACTGACCTTTGAGTCATCTCCAATGGGTCAATCTCAACCATTTGGTGAAGAAAAAGGCCTGCAGATGCTTCTTTTTGAAGCAGGAGTACAGTGGATGCTGACTGGATTTCCAGCTGAGAAGCCAGCAGTGTGAATGCCCATGAGCTCTGAGAGAAATGAGGCAATCAAGTCTCATTGTGATTGATAGTTTCTGAAACAGGGTTGTAGGGTGCCATGAGCACAAATCAGCTCCATGGTGATGGGTTTGGTTTTTTTCACTTTTAGAGAGCTTGCACATTCATTTTTGTTTTTTAGAAGTGCTTTGTGTTTTTCAGGATCTCCTTCCTCTTCAAATAAACTCGACAATTTCCCTGTTGATCTCCTTGAAAAATGCATTTGGTATCTGTATTGGGATTGCATTGAACATGTGGATTACTTTTTGTAGGATTGTAATTTTCACAATATTAAGTTTTCCCACCCATGAAGAGGGCACATTTTCCCATTTCTTTAGGTCTTTTATTGTGCCTCACAGAAATGTTCTGTAGTTTTCTTTGTATAGGTCTTCTGTGTCTCTAGTTAGGTTCACTCTTAAGTATCTTAATTTGTGGTTGACTACTATAAATGGTATTGCTTACTTTATTTCCTTCTCTTAGTTCTCTTTGTGTCTGTAGAGGAATCCCACTGATTTGGGGGCATTGATCTTGCATTCTGACACTCTACTAAATTGGTCACTAGCTTTTAATAGTTTTTTTTGTTGTTGTTGTTGAGTTCTTGGGGTTTTCTATGTATACTATCATATCATCTGCATACTATCTCTTTTCCAATCTGTATGCCTTTTATTTCCTTCTTTTGTCATATTGCTCTAGCAAGCACTTACAATACAATTTTGAATAGAAGTGGTGACAGCAGACATCCTTGTCTGGCCCTTGTTAGCAAGGAAAATGCTTCTAGTCTTTCTCCAAAGGAGATCTGTACACCAATGTTCATAGCAGCATTAATAACATCTCAATAACATGGAAACAGCACAAATGTCCAACCACAACTGAATGGATTGAGAAATTGTGGTATATTCACCCCAGTGGAATACTATGCAGCACTCAGGAGCAACAATTTTGAAAAATACATAACTTGGGAGATACTGGAGAGCATTATGCTAAGTGAACTAACTCAGTCTCAGAAGGACAAATACTGCATATAATCATTGTAAAAATAGAAGGATAACTAGTAAAACATGTATGGGAACCCAAGGGCAGACAGGTGGGAGTAGAAGGGTCAGGATGGGTAGGAGTGTTGCACAGTTTGGTGGGTGAAGGGATGGGGGAAATAAATGGGAAGGATCCAGGGGGCACCTGAAAAGACTGGGTAATGATGGGAAAGGTCCAATGGTGATTGATTTTTATAAAATATAATGCCTGGGAACAATTGTATCAAACACAATATGAATGAAGAATGATGTGAAACATAATGTATATTAACTTTGTGAGCAAACCAATATAAAAAAAAATTTGAAATAGTTTGCACATGACTATTGGGGAGGAGTAGCTAGTGGATTGGCCCCCTAGCGGTTTCTGAAGCCCCATATTGGGCAAGAGTAGAACCCTTACTGTATCCTTGTCTTGAGAGATGCTGAAGGGCTGCTGCCATCCCTCCCTGCCCCAACTGGGTGGCTGTCTCTCAGGGTATCCCTATGCCCATCTCGGATGTTGCTCTCTGCTCACCTCTAGGCAATGCCTCCACTCCACGGGTACAGGCCGTCCAGCAGCCATGCTCTCTGTGAACCAGCTCATGTCCAGCAGGGGTGAGTGGGTCCAGCCCAAAGAAGCAGCCACTGCCCTGCATTCTTGCCAGTGGACAGCCTCCACTGCTGTGGTATGCTCCTTCACCACGCGTGTAACCTCTGGGCTGGAGCAGAAGGAGGAGAAAAGGTGGGGACAAAAGCCCTTCTCCAGGCCCACATCCTTCCTACTTCTGGAAATTCTCAAGCCTGTGTTTTGCTGTTGCTTCTGCATTGTGAGATTCCTTCTTCAAGTACCATTCCCTCCAGAAAGCTTTCCAGCACCTTATCCTGGCAGGCCAACCCCTCCATCACTCCAGCAGCTAGGAAACCATGCCATGCTCTCTCATCTAACTGCACTCACAATTCCAGCCTCTGACTCTGTGTATATTTGTCTATGTCCCTCTCCCGTCGAGAACTTGCTTCTTGAGGGCCTAATTGTCATCTGTTGATACAGAAGCACAAAAGCTGGAGTCACACTCTGCCTGATATGTGCTCTATGCCTGTGCACAAATCACAGACTCTTCTGTATTTCCAATATATCTGTACTTTCTCTTTAAAGCAGAGAAAATAACAGATCTTTCTTGATGTAAAAGTTCAAAATATATTAGAGCAAAAGGGTTTAGGTAGTGCCTGGGACACAGGAAACCACTGTGTGCTGTTAGTAAACTTGTCATCCTGGGGTGTCTGGGACAAGAGCTGGTCTGGAAATGTCTGATAGACACCCAGCAATGTACAGAGGGGCTACTCCATTCCTCTGGCCTCCCCACTTCAGACTGAGGGGAGCCCAGCTACATTGCTGTCATCTTTTACTCTCCAGCCACCATTCTTTGCAACTTTTGATTCTCTCCCTACAGAGAACCAGTCACTCTCAGCTCAGCCTGGTGAACAGATTCAGAGCACCCTAAGGGATCACTGGATCACAGTGGGACTCACACAAGCAGAAGGGCAGCTAGTTTATGTTCTTGTATTTCATGCATGTAGACTGTGTTTTATACAATCTTTAATTTACATTGTATTTCATACAATTATTGATTTATTCTTCATTTTATACAACCAATCACTATTTGTCTATGCCCATAATCACCCTGTCTCTTTGAGTCTCCACTGAATCTTTCCCATTCTTTCATCCCTTTCCTCATATACCCACTAAACTTTCAGTCTCATAAGACAACGACTGCATAAACCCATTTCTGCAAAAATTGAAGGATAACTAGATGTGCGTGAATGTCTAAAAGGGGAAGGGGAGGGAGAAAAGGGAGAGAGGATGGCATTCATTGGCGTTTTTTCATTTGAGTCTGAAAATGCTTCTGCAGAACATTCTAAAGGAAGAGAACTTGAGGCCTAGAAAGAGATTATGTGATTATGAAGTGCTAGGACTAACATGGACTGCAGACATTCCCAGGGTCCCTCCCTCTCCCTCTCCATTGTTGTTGTTGTGCCATAAAGTCAGAACCCACTCATTAAGTGACCCTCCAGCTGGTAATCAATTGCACACAGAAAGAGAGTGCTCATCTTTCTCCAACAGAGCAGCTGGTTGCTTCATACCAACTGCCTTTGGGTTGGCAGCATAAGTCCTTACGTAGAGTCACCAGAGCTCTCTCCTCCTCCTGTGTGCAAGAATTTCAGATCTCTAATTCTCAAAATGTCAACTGTTAAGAGACTTTACAGAGCTATCTTCTGAGAAGTAACCACTCTGCTTCAAAATTCTGTTCTTCATTTTATCCAAATTCCATTACCACCTCTCATCACCTCTTATCCATTATAATTTTCTGCTCCAGCTGATGTTATAGCCTTAAAAGTAAAACAGGTATCTATCTCTTAATGAGCAAACTCAGGAGTTCCATACACTGAGGCAGGGCTGGCTGCTAGAGGACCCAGCAATACACTGGCAAGGAGAAGTGCCCACCATTGGCCTGTGGCCCTGGGTTGGTCACCCAGAACATGTGGAATGGATGATACATACCTGTAAGTGTCGAGGATGTGGAAGCCTTTAGAGAGGGCCAGGCTGCTGAGGAAGGCCCTGCAGCTGTGGCCCATGCCCACCTTGGCCAGGTAGATTGCAACACCAGGGAAACTCACAGAGGATAGGGCACAGAAGGCCTTGGAGGGGGACCTGCACTGCCTTTGTCTCTGCTTAGGGAGCACCGGAGCCATAGTGGTGAATGAAGGGCTGTGTGAGGGATCCCTGAAGCCTTCTAGAGATGAAGTAAAAGTGACCTCATGCTTCACCCAACGAAGGCTTCTCAGAGCCACACCTGGGGACAAAATTACAAAATTGTCTTAATCATAACCAAATACCCAAAGGAAATGAGTTACAGTGTCTAAGGCCTGGGGAGCAAAATCTCGGGGGACATCAGTGTCATTGGCAGTCTATAAATATAATGCTCTACATTCTACTTTAGTGAATAGCAACTGAGGTCTTAAAACCTTGCAAGCAGTCATTTAATTGGTCTCTTCCTGTTCCAAAGAAAGAAGGAAGAAGAGCAAAGTTACATAGACAAACAAGGACAAACTAAAGGACAAATGAGCCACTCACACCTCAACTTCCATGACCTTAAGACCAGATCACAGTATTCCCAAGAGCTTGAATTGTTGTTGTTAGGTGCCATTGAGTTGATTACAACTCACAGAACAATGGCTCTGAACCTTGTCCTATCCTGTGCCACTCTCATCATCTCTAACATGAACCCATTGCTGAAGTCACTGTGTCAATCCACCTGATAGTGTTCCTCTCTTTCACTGACCCTCCACCTTTCCAAGCAGGACGTCCTTCTCCAAGAAATTTAATATACTTAAAGAAATGAGTCTATGCCTCCAATTAGCACTCTGGCTGTGCCTTCTCCAAGACATATTTGTTGTCCTTTTGGCACTTTTCTCCAACACCACAGTTCAAAGTCATCAATTCTTCTTCTATCATCTTTATTCATTGTCCAGATCTCAGATGCATAGCAAGTGAATGAAAAGACCGTGGCCTGACTCTGGCACACCTTAGTTCTCAAACTAATATCATTGCTCCTCAATAATTTTGAGAGATCCTTTTGAAGACTTTCCCAATGCAATTACAAGTTATGACTGACATTGAGAAGAAAGGGAATCACAGAACACTTAATTGTGCCCATGTGTACCCTATACCTAGACCAAAACACTGTTGCGTGAACAGAACCAGAAAACAGTACATGGTTTAAAATTAAGAAGGAAATGTGTCAGGGTTGTATTCTCTTTATATACCTATTTAATCTGTATGCTGAGCAAATTATTCAAGAAGCTAGATTCTATGAAGAGGAATGTGGCATGAGGATCAGAGAGAGACGCATCAATAACGTACATTATGCAGATGACGGAACCTTGCTTGCTGAAAGTGAGGAGGACTTGAAGCACTTGTTGCAGAAGATCAAGGAATAGAGCCTTCAATTTGTATTGAATCTCAATTACACGAAAACAAAGATTCTTACCACTATACAGATAGTCAACATCATGGTGGGTGAAGAGGATACTGAAACTGTCAACAACATCACCTTGCTTGGATCAACAATTAACACCCTTGGTACCAACAGTCAGAAGACATATTGCACTGGAAAAGTCTGCATTTAGGGACCTCTCCAAACGTTGAGGGGGAATGATGTAAATTTTAGGACTAGAGTATATCTGATTCAGGCCATTGTCTTCCCAATCACTTGCTATACATCTGAGAACTAGAAAGTGAATGGGGATGACAGAAGAAGAACTGATGTCTTTTGTTGAAGAGCACTGACCATTCCATGGATGGCAAAAAGAACAAATAAATATGTCTTGGAGAGGATGCAGCCAGAGTGTTCTTTGGAGGCAGGGATCATGAGGCTTCACATCACGTATTTTGGATAGGTTACTGAGGGGACTATTCCTTGGAGAAGGGCATGATACTTGGAAAGGTGGAGGGTTGGCAAAGGAGAGGAAGATCCTCAAGATAGATTGATATGGTGACTGTCACAATGGACTCTTGTGTGTCAGGGAGTGTAAAGATGGCATAGGATAGGATAGGGTTCAGATCCACTGTTTATAGGGTCACTATGAGTCTTTTGAGGGCACCTAACAACAACATGCAGATGACACAACCTTGCTTGCTGAAAGTTAGGAAGGGCTCGAAATGCAACCTTCAACATGGATTGCATCTCAACATCAAGAAAACAAAAACTCTTGCCAGCAACATCATGACAGACGAAGAAATGATTGACATTGTCACTGACTTTATCACACTTGGATCCACAATCAATATGTTGCAAGAAGATAAGGCCCAGGAGAGAGATGGAATCAAAGGAATCACCCAAACACTTCCATTTAAAAGAAAGAAGAGCTTTTGTTTGATTAGTAGACAGGTGACCAAAGTGGCTGAAGCTCCCCAAGCTGTTTTGGATTAGGCTTTTTATAAGGAAACTGGGAAAACAATACTGGGAACTTAATATATGGAAGCTGATGTCAGCTTTTTACAGTTCTTTTTT